TGAGAGGTTTTTGCTATAGGGCGTGTGCGCTTGCCAGACAGACAGAGAGACAGAAAGCAGGAAATCACCCCCCGGGGGGGTGGCCACGTTGCAATCCCTTCTCTTCCATTCTCCTCTTGGGATCTTGGGCATGCACGCACACGCGCCCGGTGTGAGTTTAAGCCACCGGGTCCGGGACTCGAACCGCGGTCGACTACGTGGGAGTCCAGCGACATAGCCATTATGCTAACTGCTGGTCCCGGATCTTCGTGTTTTCTGAGCTGAGCAATGGGAGATGTACACATGGGCCCAGGGCTATAACAGGTGAGCAGTCCTGAGGACAAGGAGGTGGTGGAGAGGAATCATCACAGTAACAATCATAACCACAATGCCAGCGACAATAGCAGTGAATAATGAAGAGCTATGTATGTGCTTGGCAGCGTTCCAAGTGCTTGACATGGAAAAGGGACAGACACATTTAGTCCTTCTAACTGCTGTGAGCAAGGTATTAGTACTAAAGCCCCTATTTCACAGGTGAGGATGCTGATACAGAGACACTGTCAACACAACTACCACCAAAACCCAAGCAGATTGACTCAATTACAGTATCACACTGTCATTTAGGGAAGATGCCCAAGTGCTGGATTCCTGAGAATCAGGCTGCTCCTGCCATGGTGGAGAGGCCCCAGCTTCCACTGCTGTCCTTTAAGATTCTAGTTCTGGTTTCATTATGAATGCCCACTGGTTTCTAGAGGTAGATAGCATCCTTTGAATGTTCAAGAAAGAATGCTTGGGTGGTGCTTTAGAGCCACTCTGCCTGAGTTCAAGGTTAAGCTGTTTGCATATTGGCTGGGATATCCTGAACAAGCTTTGTATTTTTCTGAGCCTGTTTTCTCATCTGTGAAATGGAGATAATACCTAACCTGAAAGGGTTATCTTGAGTACGAAGTGACACACCACAGGGAACAACTTAGAAGCAGGGGAAAATCAACAAGGGCAGTTAGGGCATCCTCCCCTGTTGTCAGTACTCTAAATTTGTTTAGGAAGGGTACACACAACAGCCAGCTAGCTGCCTTCCCATGGTGAGTGGTGGTCAATCCCTTATTCCCTCCTTCCTGTGTGGCATAGGGTTACAATAGCTAGGGCTTCATCAGCCATCTTGGGGTCCTGAGGTAATTTGAAGGGGATGAGAAAAGAATGAAAAACATGTAAGCAGAATGCAATGGTCAGAATCTGGGACTGTCACAACAATGGCAGCTTGTACTGCCACCAGACTTTTAGATCAGTCTGAAATAAACTTCAAGCTCACCTAAGCCCCTATTTCACTTTCCTATTACTTATAATCATATTCAATCCCAACTAAGTCAGCATAAGACCTAGTTCTGAGCAAAGAAATAACAAGGGCAAGTATGCTTGAAAGGCTTCCAGGAAAGATTTTTCTCCTTGGTAAAAGGAAAGAGGGCAGGAAGAATAAATCTCTCATCCTGGCTGGTTTCTGCTTTCAGCAGAACTTAATTACAGCAGATTGGAGTATCCTTACCATGACCACCCCAAGTAAAACTGCACACCCCCACCACTCCTCACACATTGTACATTCTAACTCCCATCATTCTCTAGCATGTGTATGTTGTTTTTCCCTCTCTACCAGAACATGGGCTTCACAAGGACTAAGAATGATGTCTTCTTCATTCTGTGTCCCAAGAACCTAGAACCATACCTAACACAGAGTAAGTGCCCAATGAATATTTTTTTAAAGAATTATTTTATTTAACTTTATATATTCATTTATTTAATTAGACCAGAGAGGGACAGAGCCAGAGTGAGGGCGAGAGCGAGAGAAAGCAAGCTACCAGGTCCAGGACTCAAACCACGTTTGGCCATATGGG